TCCAATCAAGTTCATAAGACCAGCATACTCAGGCCCTATCTCAAGGAATTTACACTGTACAAGGGCTAACACTGTGTCCTACTACTTCCAACAACTCCCACATCAGCAAAATGAAGGTGGTCTTGTCTCTCCATAGAGATAGCCTCATTTTCCTACAGAAATTTACTCAAAACAAGTAAGAAATGCCATTTATAAGGCAGTGCAGAGCCTTCAGGCAGCTTCCACACTTTGCCTAGTGCACCAAGGCTTCCTCTCATTAAATTTAAATACCGGTTTGTTTGCACGCCACATGTCACAATGACTGACTATAGCTGACAACTTAGTAATTTGCAGCTCAAAACAAATAACACATTTATAAATAATAGTCTTTCTTGAAAAACCGATTATTGTCTTGAGCCTTACAACAAAATTAAACTGCAAACTATGGACTATTAAATTTACTGAAGAAATCTTAAGTCATTCAAATATATTAAGCAACTACTGTTCACTTCAGCAAGCATGGTAGCAAACTGTGTTGAAGACAAGAAATATTTCTTGGGGAATTTTTGGAAGACATAGTTTAGTTTAAATTAGCACTTCCTAGAGTGCTTTTAAAAAGTCTTTTAACAACCCTTCTATACTTCAAAAACCATAATCACTCAACAATTCAAAGTAACCACCTGGTACCCAGATTCTGAGCCTGCTAGAAAAGAATGGTTTCCTGCAATGTATGACCATGGCAGTTGTGAAGCTATCAGAGCTGATTTTGTTTCCTTTGCTCTCATAAATAATTCGTATACAAATTGTTCAAAATGCAACAGCTCTATTCTCTCATTATTTTTAAACCAAATGGAAAACTGATTGTCTCTGACCACTGGTAGATTTGGGTCCTTTTTTGAAAGCCCAATAATAAACTGGAAATAAGAAAGTAATTCAACACTCTTTAATTAATTTAACAAACGCTCTATTAACTGACCTAACCAACAATCGTTTAACATCTAGCACATACAAAGAATACAGAAACAATAATAAGCAATTAGGACTCTTGAGGAGTTTACACATTAGCAGTAGGTTGAACAAAATAACTTACTTTGACTTTGAAATAAAGACAATATAGTTCCTCAGATCGTAATCACGTGCCACATACAAAGTAGGTATAGAGAGCCAAAAGTTAACTCACATCAATGACACACTTAGCAGGCACTCCTCCTTCTGCCTTACTTTTATCATCCTCACCAGCCAAGATTTTCCCCCCCAATGAGAAAATACAGGTGCTCAACATCTGACCCTAGACCTAAGTCACAGATTGGAGACTATCAGATTTTAACATAAAGTCACTTTGTGTGGTGGTAAATCTTTTAAGTTTAACCATATAGACTTATTATATCTCTAGGTAACATTCAATCCAAGCATAGAAATGGAAAAAAAAAAAAATGCTACTGAGAGTTCCTAAAACCACTCCTGCTGTCTGAGACCTGCCTACCTTAGCCCCCTACTCCTTGAAGAGGCAATGAATCCACTCTGCTTTTTTCCCCTATTTGAACGTAGTATTTTTAAAAGCACCAGCCCATTTGGCCATGATCTATGGCCCACCATAAATACCAACTGGTGTGGTCAAAGGGTGTAATTGTAAGCAAAGTATGAAGTGACTAAGAGAATAAGCCTGCAAAATAACACTCTTAGGGAGTGGGACCTACTAGGGAGCCAAGGAATCAGAGACAAGATCTCCCTTGGACTCGACTGGCTTTTAAAATCATCACTGGGCAAAGAGGTTCTATGTCCTTGAACTCCACCCAAGAACCCCCAAGCATGCCCACATATCAGGCAGAAAGAGTTAAGGATGCAGGCTCTCGAGCTGGTCTGACTGGCTTCAGATCCTGGCTCCATACTTAACAGCATCAGCACCTTCTCTCTGACTCCACTTCTTCCTCTGTAACTAAAAGATAAGAACAACATCTACCTTATAAGACTAAAGAATAAAATGAGATCACAGTTAAAGAGCTTAGCACAGTAGCTCACTCACAAGAAACACTAAGTAAATATGCACACCTGTATCTACTATTTTCAAGGGCTACCTGAACTACCAGTTCATTCCTAAATTTAAAATGTCAACACAGCTACTACTAATTGGCTGGGTCCCTTTTAAACATCCCTATACGGGAGTAGTATTATCCTCATTTTAGAGCTGAAAAATAAAAGTTTAGAAGAATTCAAAAACTCATCTAAACTTACCCAGTTAATAAGTGGTAGAGCAATAAAAGCCCTGATCACATCCCAGCAAAGTCTGCATTATGTCACCTACCTCCAAAAGGCTTAAAAGCATTTTTAAATAATACTTCAATATTCTAGCATCATTATTTGTTAAAAGAAGTTATGTTCTTCTAAAAATCCCCAGACTCCTTCCACTAAATCAGTACAAATCACCTATAAAACCAGGAACACCAGCCAAATTCTGATAAACCATCAAAAACACAAAATTGTTTTTCTTAACAAAATAAAAGAAAAATGACTGGGTATGGGGCTGGGATTGTGGCTCAGGGGTAGAGTGCTCCCCTATCATGCATAAGACACTGGGTTGGATTCTCAGCACCATATAAATGTAAAATTAAGATATTGTGTCCACCTAAAACTAAAAAAATACATTTTTAAAATCACTGAGTAAATCATTGCAGCCATTTTAATTAAATAGCTTTAAAAGTTCAAAAGTATTGCAGACACATAGTATATCAAGTCATTCTTCTTTCAGAATTCGTAATTTGATCCTGCAGAAGAATCCATACACTCCAATTGGCCTGTGTAACATCTCTCTTTCCCTATGTTTGCCCAGAGTGTAACAAAATTGACAAGAGTTAATAGTTACTCCAAATATTCTCTCCAACCTACTCTTATACTATTTAAGATGACTTACAAGTGTCCTAAAAGAAAATAATCAAATTCATATTAAGTATGTCATGGTGACTGATCTCACAGAATTTTTTTAAACTCTCACACTGAGATCCAGAAATAGTTAAATTTATTCAAATTTACAACTCCAACAACTTCAAGGAAAACCAAAATAGCATACCATCCTAGTCAAAGCTATTTATCCCTATTAAATGAATTGGTCACCCAGTTTCCTGAAAACAGAGCTCATAATAATTGCTAATCCTTAAGAGTTAAAATAAAGGGCATGCTTTACTTGTGGAAGAAGTAGTGATATGGATAAGCCAAGTCATATAATTTCACTTTACTTTCTATTTGCTTTACCCAGGCATGACATTCTTGTAAGCCTCTTTGTAAACAAATGAGATGATATAATAAAGCATATAAACTGAAGCAGAAGAGAACACAAAATGCCTTAATATTTCAAAAATTTCCTGCAATTTCAATAATCTGAAACTCCCAAGTATCCAAAAGAATTACCACATAACTGTAAAAGTCAAATATTTATACAGGTGCCTTAAAAGCCACTGTTGGGTACACACCATCAACACTGACATTTACTATCTGTTAAGTAGCTTCAAAGTGCAATGACATTAGTCAAATAACTGGCTTTAAGTGTGAAGTTTATGACAACAACTAATATATCTGGAGAGACTGTGAAGGTGTGATACTTATCACAACTTTCATCAGACCAGCAAAAGGCAGGCAAGCTGTGACAAGATGGGACCTGGGCACAGGTGCCTTTTCTCATTTCAGTAGGGAAACTTAAACTGATACCTTCATGGATAATTTAACAAGGATTGTTCCATAAATTTTTAATGTTATTTATGACTTTCTTATAATTGCTTTTTAATTGCTTTCAAAACCAATGGTCTTATGACAAAAGTGAGAATGAAGAGAAGAAAACTTTCAGCTTCAAATTAAGAAAAAGGGGACTGCTTAATAGGGCTAGCACCTCAAAAAGGTTATAAACCCCTAAATCCACATTCTGTACGAAGCTGGGAAGAATTTTCAGAAATAACAGAACTCCAAATGAAGGAGTTATTCCTAGTCTATTACTTAAATTTATAATTAGGAATACCTCCTTAATGGACAATTTACAAATTTACAATTAGAAATGTCTACTTTTATTGTCATAATAAATCTAATTGAGAAATTTTCCTATTAAGGATAATAAGAAAGAAGGAATAGAACAACATTTGTGAACACTCAGCTAAACTTTGGATTAATAAACTTCTTAGATAATGATTATGCTGTTCATCTACCAACACGAATAAAACATGTGTACCGAGAACTAAACAAAATCAGGCTAAGCTGAAGTCGAGTTCCCAATACCCAAGGTTCAATTCTAATGTTCTTTTCACCACTTCTTCAAAACAGAATCTGCCAGGCTAAGTTTTCAGGTGAGGGCAAACACTACAAAGTAAAACTCCAAAACAAGAGTTTCTATCTAACATCTGAGCGGCAAGGCCAGTTACACCCACTACCAGGGCCCAGCCAGGAACCAGATCCCTCTTCCTCTTCCATGCTCAGGCTCTCCGGACTGACGGGGTCGCATAGGGAAAAATTCTGCAGATGAGTCTTGGGAGCCAAGTTCAGCCAGAGAGATGCCACAGGTGGCCTGAATGGCTGGTTCCTCACCATGCTTTATGGCCTCCTGGAAACCCCAGCCCATTCCAGTCTCGCCCAAGCCCACGGTGCCCTCCGGCCTTAATTTGTCCAACTTTAAGTGGAAGCGAGTTCGGAACAGCTTTCAGGTGTCCCCTCTTGGTCCGTTAAGTGGACTAAGAGTACCAGCCCCGAGCACCAATCCCGCCCATCCCTTGGAATTGTCTAAAGGTCCTAGAGGGGCGTCGGGCAGGCTGTGGGTAAAGAGGCCCAGGAAGGGGCAGCTCTACAGTTCCCTGCGGGGAGACTCGCCGGCTGACGCAGCCCCGCCTAAGCGGACGGTTCCGCGCCTTCCCGGGACCCCGCGGGGGACCGGGGCCCGGCGACGCCCCACGCCCCCAGCGCCGCCGCCCGGCCAGGTCTCCCAGACAACAGCCGCCGCCGCACTTCCGAGGCGGGTCCCCGCGCCCACCCGCGGCCCGGTCGCCCACCTGTCCCGGGGGTCGATCCAGCTGGTCCTCCTGGTGTTGTGGTCAATGTAGAAGACCTTGCCGTCGTAGTCCCTGGCCTCCTCCCAGCCCCGGGGTAGCGGCAGCTGCCCGCTCCCGGCTCTCCTAGGCATGGTCAGCGGCCTCGCCGGCGAGCGGCGCCTCCATAGGGACCCGGCGCGGAACGCAGCGGGAACACTACTGCCCGGCCTGGCCGCCGCACCCGACGCGGGCGCCGGCGAGGGGCTGCGGAGCGCGCTGCTCGGCGGGGCCACGCGCGGGGGACGCCTCAGGAAACCCTGCTCTCGGCCCCGCTGGGGATCAGTCCACCATGTCTGCGTCGGAGCAGGCAAGCGAACCCTCCTCCTCCTCCTCGCCGCCGCCGCTGCTGCCTCCGCCTCTTCCTCCTCCTCCTCCCAGTCCCCCTGTGGCCGCCGAGGGTCGCGGCGCCCAGGCTGCCCAAGCCGACGCCGTCTGGGCTCGGATCCGGGAAGCTCCGCCGAGCAGCGGCCCCGGCGGCGGCGGGCCTCCTCATTTGCATGCTATTAGCATGCGCCCGCCCCCCGCCCCTCCCCGCGCCGGGTTCATCTGCATGCACATTCCTCGCCGCCACATTCCTGGGCTTAACCCTGCCGCTCCCGCGTGCGGCTGCGCCAGCCGGGACGCCCGACTCGAGCCCGAGGCGGGGGAGGGGAGCCCAGGGACCAGGTGGGAGGGAAGAGAGCGAAAGGAATTCTCTGTTCGCACCTTCCCTGGGACCCCAAATGTCGCCCTATGGCCAAACCCTTGGTTTTTTGGAGTTTCGAGACGGGAAAGATCGCCAAAGAGAAGTCTCCTCAAACTTCTCAACCACTTTCCGTCTTCTAGGGAAGCCACAAGACTTTCTAGAGGAAAGGGGTGGGGAAAACTGTCCTCGGAAGAAGTCCCAACAAACAACGAGGACACAAAGGCTCCCTCACGCCGCCGCCCCAGCCCTTCGGAACCCAGGGGACCGAGTGGCAGTGGAAAAGTGTGAAAAGCCCCGAAATCCCTGGAAGGGTGTCCGTAGCTTGTCCGGGGCGGCCTCGCCGCCCCCCCCCCCCGGGCCTCTGCAGGGCGCCTGGCCCTCGGTGACCTCAGCGGAGACCGCGGGCCTCGCGGCGGAAAGCGAAGGCGGGTCCGCGGTCCGAAAGCGCCGCGACACACCCGCCCCAATGGCCCGCGTAGAAACTCCGGCCTGACCCTGAGAGGCGGCCGGGCCAACTCCGGCTGACGACGCCGCCCGTGGGCCTGGGGTGCAGAGTCACCCGCCACCCTCCGCCGCGTCAAGGCAGCCCACCCGTGGGGTCCCTGGGCCACAGGAGGGCCTCTGCTCCTGGCCTCCCCTGCAGGATTTAGGGCAGTAGGACTTGGCCGCGTCCAATACCCAGTCCCTTCCGTCCAGCCACCGGCCTCGGGAAGTTCCCCACCCCAAGCTGCGACAAAGCCAAGAAGGAGTGGGCGACCGCGCTGGAGGGAGCCCAAGGCGGCGGGGCAGAGGCCAGATATTCCCTGGCCATAGATCCATCCGGGATGGGACACGGATCCTCTCTCGCAGGCATTTATTTATTCAGCAGCTACTACGTGCTGATCTGCACTGAGGAAGGGCCCGACGTCGGACTCCGGATAGGACCACGCCGGGAGCAGCAGGACTGCTGGGCCTGGACTCCGAGCACTGTGTCCCCAGCCCAAAAATTCCTTTCCTGCCTGGTCTATACCACGGTTCTCCATTCATATTCTTCCGGGTTTCTAAGCAAATTCTTTTAAAACACGGAGCCTTGAGGAAAGCAGGCCCTGGAACGCAATCATTCACCTCTTGGTGTGCATTCGCTTAATTTTGTCTGCTAATATATAATGACTTCCCACCTGTGCAGGACTCAGGGCTGGGCAGGGGCTATTATAGGGTTTGCCTCTGTTCCCGGATTCACAGGCCCGCGAGTGTTGAAGCGAATTGATACCGCACAGGAGAATTGATACTGGAAGGTGCAGGAGGAGGGTGCTGGCTAAGGGCGGAGGCTCAGACTTGGAGAGGGCGCTGGGCTTGACTTCTCTCCTTGAAGGGGAAAAGGCCATCTCTTCTGTACCTGGAGCAGTCTAGGCGGGGAGCAGAAATTTAAACCGCCAGAAACTCTGAAAAGCTTGGAGGACCTGGGAGGGAGCAACCAGACTGTGAGCCAGAGGTAGTGAAGGTTAGCATAGAAGAGGAATTCGCTCTCTTTGGCGCTTTTTCTTTTTAGATCTTCCTTTACACCAAGGCCTTTGGAAGCTAGGCTTTGCGCTTAGTAAAGAGAACCGCCCGCCCACCCACCTCATAACCTGTATTCTGCCCCGCTCCATTAATCAAGAAATGATCTCTCAAGGTCCTAGTCAGTGGAATGAGACAGCCTGGTGGTTAGTCTTAAGGTTGGACTTTTGAATGCTGAAAAAACAAAAAACAAACAGGGCTTGTCTAAAATTAATCTCTCACGATACTGAGGGGATGTGTTTTGTTTTGGATTGCTTTAAATGGGTCCACTTGCATGGCCAAAATTTGCTGTGTGGTATACTAACACCATTAATCCTCAACCAAACCAAGCCATTGTTATTTAAAACTTGCTTCCTGGCTTTTCTCCCCCCCCCCCAACAGTTTAAAGACATTTATTATGCTAAAATATTAACGTCCTACGTTTAAAAACAACACCACCACATTAGAGTAATACACTTTGCAGTTGCCATAACTTAACTCATTTCACTGGGATGAACTACTGCACAGTAGTTTCCAGCATAGTTTCAAATTTGGTAAACTCTCAGCTAAATATTATTACCTAATTTCTATAACAAATGAAGAATCCAAAAAGCCCACAACATTAAATGGCATTTATTGTTCCATAAATCTTCAGACTTCAAAAAGAAATGCTAAGTGGACAAAACTCTAAAGCAAGGAAGAGACAAGCTCACTTCTCTCCCACTGATAGGCGCAGGAAACATTTGATCATACAAAAGCAGTTAAAGGCAGAAAGGAGAGCTGCTGCTCTACAGCCATTCTTGTTTTGATCTCCTTTGAACTCTGCTGTTCTGATTTCACCTAATCTATGCAGGAGCATCCCCTTAGAGAATTCCTAATGGTTAGGATAATGAAATTTCATCAGTATTCATATCTGTAAAAATAAATAAATGTAAAAATTATCCCCATTTAGATTTTATTTGGGCTCCCCATGATCCTTGGCAAAGAAGTATGACACATCTACTGTTTAGGATGTCAGATTATCAAGTTCTGGTCAATGACAAATCTATTCTCTGACCCTCAAATTTTCCTTTTCTCCTACCTTTACCCTCAAATTTTCCTTTTCTCCTGCCTCTCCAGTGGTAATAGTCTGTGGTGATAAGATGTTATAAACAAAGCTTCTACAGTCAATATCCTAATCCTAGGTGGCCAGAAAATTAGCAATATAAAAATTAGGATTAGAAAGTGAAAAATATTTCAAAAGATCATCTAGTTGTACCCAAATTTAAAATATACATTCCTTTACTCCAGCAATGTAATGATTTTACCTCTGGATATGAAAATTCCTCAGTGTCTTCAAAGGATGTTCATTGCAGTGTGTTTAATAAGATCAAAACTGGAAAAACCACCAGTGGCCATTAGTAAAGTGCTGATTAAATGAAGTATAAATTACCCATGCTCAGCAAGCATTTAAAAAGCATTAAATATATTAAATAAGGAAAGATGTCCAGGATATATTAAGTGAAAAAAGCAAGGTGCAAATAGACACTGCTCACTGCCAGTTAACTTTAGTATAGAGTTACAATCCGATTCTGGAGGTCAGGCCAACCATAAAATGTAAAGATGACAGTCTCCTATACACTTACTTTGTGTCAAAGGAATAGCACAGTAAAGGAGGGAATTTTTATAGAGGATGGGAACTATCAGGGAGGTCCCATCAAAGAAGTTTACATGAAGTAAATGATCAGTAAGGAAAAGGGATGGGGTAGAGGCGAACACAGACATAATCCCAAATTAACAGGCCAGGCAGGGCATGCTTATGGAAAGAAAAGGACATACAAAGTTCAAAGATGATTCTGGCATGAAGGAACACAAGACTGGCTGGAGCCATCTAGTTAAGGAGGTTGTAGTGATAGTATAGGTATGAGATAGATAAGGGCTGGGATTAGAAATAAAGCAATGAGGATGAAAAGGAATGATCTGGCAAGAATTTGTGACTGATTAGATTAAGAAGGGAGCAGTGAATAGACTAGAAGCAGGAATCTGGGATGAGTCCAAGATTTTAGACTGTGGAAACAGATTCAAAGTACTGGAAAAAAATGAGGAAGTCCAAAGGGGGATCTGATATAGGGTTTAGTTTTAGAAATTAGAGATACCCAGCAGAAAGTTAAAGGTCAGGACTAAAACTCAAACAACAGGTCAGGACTGCAAATACATGTTGGATGTCATCATCGGAAGTTGGTAGAGGACTGAGGCTTCAGAACTGAATCTTAGGAAGGTAATGTTAATGCAAGTAGAAGAGAATTAAGTAACTCATCTATAATCCTATTTTTGGCCCATAACTCTTCAGTAATGTGATATGATTTTGTTTATTTCTTTATGGTCTCTGTTTTCAGTGATGTGTGTAAGAATTATTTGCTAGCGTGGAAACCATCTTTGAATGAATTATTGTTATAGCCCTTATTGTTCTGCTAGTGAATCAACTCTGTGTAGGACAAGATGAACTGGTTTTCAATATTTTAATATCCCTTGTTTTCTCAAGGAGATTGGAGATTATATAAGCCAGAAATTCTAAATAAAAAGAACATTCCTTTTTTTCCTGAAGCAAACAAGTTAGTGACTTTTGGGGGCAAGGGGAAATGAGTTCTTCTGCAACCAAACTGATTAAAATAAGTACTATCTATAATTGTTGTGGATAGATTATCCTAATCCACAATTTCTAAATTTTGTTGTCCAAACAGCCCTTAAGAAAATAGGCATGTGATCTTTAAAAATCCCCAGTGCTAGCCTAAACCAAAATCCTATATTACCATAAACACTTTCCCTCCAGTTAATGATTATACTAACACATTAAGCAAAAAAAAAAAAAAAATCTTTCCAATTCAATAATAAGCAGATTTATTTTGTTGTTGTTGTTTTTCGTGTTTTGTTTTGTTACTGGGGATTGAACCCAGGGGCACTTAAACACTGAGCTACATCCCCAGTCCTTATTATTTTTTGTTTTGCGATAAGGTCTCACTAAGTTGCTTAAGGCCTCCCTCTCTAAGTTGCTGAGACTGGTCCTGCTTTAGCCTCTCAAGTTGCTGGAATTTACAGGTGTGTGCCACTGTACAAGGTCTATAGTATTATCCAGATGTGTGATCACTACCCAACACCTATCCCAGCACCTGGGATGCTTTAATAAACAAATGAAAAATGTGTTTATAATTAGCATGTGTAGTATATAAGTACAGATGCTGCACTACAAGTTATTCTTTCAAAAGT